TGCTTGTAGTAAGAGCACACCCATGAAGATCCGGATTAGAATTGATCTTCAGCAACCCATCCTTGTCGTAAAAGGCGACTAACGGGATCAGGTGGTCAGGCTCGCTGACTTGGTTGACATGTGCCATCGTAGTCTGTCTCACAGTACGTGAACCACATTATTTTCCCTACTGCCAAGCCCTGTCTTCGGTTTTTAAATTACATTTACCGGTCTTAAATCAACGATAAAGGACCGAAAAATTGAAAACTGAGTAGCTTTATCTTCTAACTTTATCATCTCGATATAAGCCATATGTCGAGTATATTTTCAATTGTCGCCATACTGTCTGCAATAGTAGACTGTGAGGATATTGTATTGCAGGCGTATATGACAGACCACGTTCAACCGAGACAATATCCGGACAGGAGTTTATTAAAGTACAGTGTTTCCGACAAGAAGATAGGAAGATATAGTGATACAGAGATATTACAGTCAATTTGCATTTCTAATTACCATACAAATAGAAGAGAGTGCGTAATCTCTATCAATCAAAGCCTTCAATAAACTGACAGTATCCTTGGGCAATGTATTATGTTCACAGGTAGCTGGACAATCGTTTACAAGAGGTGTAAGAATCAGCGTTTGTGGGTGAGTGAGTGAGTTTAGTTTTACGCCATTTTCAGCAATATTCCTTCAATATCACGGCGGGGGACGCCAGAAATGGGCTTGACATATTGGGCTTGACACATTGTACCCATGAAGACTGACTGACTGACTAAGTTTGGTTTTACGCCGCTTTTAGCAATATTCCAGCAACATCACGGCGGGGGACACCAGAAATGGGCCCCATGAAAAGAATCGAACCCGGATCTGTGATGGTCGAGCGCTTTAACAACTAGGCTACCACTCCGCCAACGTATGGAACGAATGCCCAATAAACGTCTCATATCCTTAAAACTCCACATAAAATACAACAAGTAAGATAAGTAGACTATACTGCAAATCTGTTTAAAACAATTATAAACAATTCTTAAGTGAAAATGTAGAAACCAGTTCATAAACATACACATTCATAATGTACGTGCTGAGAAGTAAATCAAGAACATAATATACACCGATTTTATATGCAAGCAATATCACGGCGGGGGATACCAGAAATGGGCTTCACACATTGTACCCATGTGGGGAATCCAGATCATCAGTATAACGAGTGAACGCTTTAACCAATAGGCTACCACAGCGTCGCAGTTATGCTAGTTAGACGTATATATAATTGTGAACCAGCAGAGCTGGGTACACAGCCTAAACCAAGAGTTCAGAGCTACCTCTGAGTATCCAGTACCAGAAAAACTCACTGTGGACCCGGAGACGGATAGAATAGAATAGGCCATATCAATAAGACCATCAACATCCGATACTACTGAGATATTATAGGAATATGATTGTAAACAGTAGGTGAGGTAGCAGGTTAATAATTATCTACAGTTGAAACAAAAGAGTGACGCCAAAACAGTATTCTAAGCATTCCTATATAATTCTTCAATGCGATGTTTACACGATATACGCTTTGCTATTGGACGAACTGTGTTACCGGTAACACGTTTGAACAGCGGACATTTATGAGCGTGGGAACAACACAGTTTGCCGTTTTTGTAAAGTCGTGAACCTTGACGGATCACATCTTCCTAAATCAGTGAATGAGATAATATGTAGATTTAGACTACAGCAAGGCATACATACATGGCAGAAAATGATTATGAACCATGTCGGCCAAACACAGTAAACAACTAGAATATCACAGATGTAGACTTAAGACTAGCCCGTATCTTTACCATCACTATTCAAGACAACACAATATAAAAAAAGGGCTATGGATCGCTAGCAACGGAAGGAAGATCTCAATACTAGTGGCCAGAGGGACTTACAGCACACTTCTTTATTCATGAGGAATTTCAAAGTACACATGAATGCAGAAGCTTGTGTCTAATCATTTAGAGTAAATGAGTGTGGGTTTACGACGCTGTTAAGAATATTCAAGCAATACCCCTAACCCGTGCCGAGGTTTATGATGTCATATAGCGCTGTGATGGAATGTGGACTGTGAAACAAACCCGACTCCTCCTCCGCCCGACCCGACCCCCATCCCCCCACAGAGAGTAGAGATGTCGTTGAAGCATCACCATTGGCCAAGAACACTCGACATTTTATGAACGCTTCTTGGTAATACCAACAGCTATTGTTATTTTACCTGCCACAAATGAGCATGATCTTGCCAGTACTTTCCCTTTAGGATACTGGAGCGATACATGAGGCGAGTGACTAAAGAGTTCGCTCGTAATGACGAGTACCTGGATTGGATTCTCCACTTGGGTGGCCCTTTTCTGATGTTCCCCACCGTGATACTGATAATTCGAAAAGCGGCTTAAAACTATTCTTCTCTCTCATTCACTCACTTTTAGATACTATTTCACTGGATCTGAGTACAGTAATGGGTCTATCCCACTGTATCCCTTGGTCTGGTCGCATGTATGTTACTAAGCTTGCGTTAGGATATGACAAATGTGTAAGTCTTGGTGTTGGGACATCCTTATCAGTTCATCTTTTTACCAACATTTGAAGAGCGGATCATTATTGGATGTGTTGGTCCGTTGCCCAAAACGAAGTCTGGTGTTCAGTATTCCTTGAAAATACGCTTCAGCAGGATTTCCAGAAGCCATTCCTCTAAGATAAATTGCTGAACTGGTGATCCTCAAGGCGTAGATCAAAGACTCAATAATTTACTGACTCCATACAGCTGGAAGTGTGCCTTAAAACAACAAACCAACCAACCACCCAACATAAAATAAAGTCGGGTATTCAGCGTCCCTATACAATCATGTGAGCTTTAGCAGGATTCTCTGAAGCCACTCCATATAGGATAACTGTTTCTCTGGTGATCCTCAAGGAATGTTCCCGTACCTGACTTACTCAAAGTAGATTAATTTCAGTTAAGGTTTGTTTCAGCAGGTCATCTGTGAGTTCGGATTTAGACAAAACCAATTCGGCAAGTCTAGTGCTGTCAGACGGTGCATTAGAGCGTTTGCTTCAGGCTCTGTGATATCTGATGAGGATTTACTGTTTGAAAGCTTGTCGTTAGAGGCGACTAACAGGATCGGGTAGTCAGGCTCGCAGACTTGGTCGACACAAGGTATCCCCACTGCGAAGATCAGTGCTCATGCTGTTGATCACTGGAATGTCAGGTCCAGACTCGATTATCTACATACCATAGCCATATAGCTGGACTAATGTCAAGTGCGGCGTTAAACAGAAACAAAGAAATTATTTTGAAAACTAAGTATGGGATGAAGGTGTTTGTTTGTGTTTGAAGGAGTCTGTTCAGGAAATGTAAGTGGTCAGTCGCTACGAGTGAGTGAGTGAGATAAGAAGTAGAGTCACATCGGCAATATTGCAGCCATATTGTGACTATAACAATATATTCTTTAATAAATATATTTAAATATTATTTCGTAAAATCTGTCAACAAAGGCCAGTAAAAGCATTATAACATTTATTACAATACTGGACAATACAATATAAAAAAAACTGGCGATAAGTCACCAAGAACTGAAGGTAGATAACCATACCAGGGACCATGGGGACTTACAGTACATTTGCTAGCTGCATGGAACCTAGCTGGATTTACATCATTCCTTCAGATGTTGATGACCCGTGAAGATCCGGGTTAGAATACTGATCTTCAGTAATGTCCCCGTTTCACTGGGCTACGACCTATCAAGACTACCCCGACTAGTGCCGATTCGTCACCTACGATGTTATCGTTCTCAATCGGCCAGTTTTTTATTATATTTTCCTTTTCTACGCAGTATCTACGGTAAACCTACGTAAAGGACGATGAAGTGACTGTAGACTTACGTATTAATGCCGGTAACATTGCGTTTGAGCACCCGTTGTTGATACAATTTCACCCAGTATTGGCCGATTGGCTACGTTTAAATCACGTTTCTGCGGCGATATATCTACGATTCACTCCCGATTCCTCACGATTCTCGCCGACACAGTGATGGCTTCCGATATCGAAGACTCATTGTCGTAATTGCCGATTACACGCGAAGATTACCGATCGACCTCGAGTAAAGTACGTATAATTTCCGAGTAAGACACGCAAAATCGGCTTCCAATCCACAAAATGGTCCCAATTCTGGGCTATAAAAGCTGACGATGACAGGCGATTCTTATTATCTAGCAACATGCTCAGCAATTCTTATTATCTAGCAACTACTTCTTCTGCTGCAACAACATATGGGATTGGAGATAGATATCTATGAATACAGAAGGAACCAGGCACCAAAAAGAAGACAAAAACAGAAACAGAAACAGAAAGAAGATTGCACTTTGGAAACTATGACAATATCCTATCTGAACTCAGAATCGAAGACACGTCTTCTTTCTTAAACTATCTGCGAATGCCTCCTGATATGTGTGATGAACTGCTTAATTCTCTGTCTCCCAGACTTACCAAAAAGACACCAACTTCAGGAAAGCTCTGCACCCTGGTCTGAAGTTAGCAGTTACCATATGGCAGCTAGCCTCTGGATACAAGCACCCCTCCCTCTCCTTCAACTTCAGAGTGTCCAGACACACCATAGCCATCTTTCTCCCAGGGTTATGCCAAGCCATCGTAGTCCACTACACTACAATTCGTAAGCCACATGGTAGTGGAAGCCTCTACCACAACTACAAGGGTTTCTTCTCCATTGTCCTGTTGGTCCTTGTAGATGCTAATTACAGATTTCTATGGGTGGCCCTCGGAGGCCTGGGTCATATGTCAGATGCACAAATCTTCAATGCCTCAGAGTTGAAAGAGTGAATAGTAGATGACATCATATGCTTGCCCGAACCTGAACCACTGCCAAATGATGATCTGGATATGCATTGCAGATGATGCATTTACCCTTCGTCAATATCTAATGAAACCCTACTTAAGAAAAGGTCTGTCATAAGCTGAACGGGATCTCGAGAGCATGCGAGTTGTGGAGAATGCCTTTGGTATTCTTCCAAACCGATGGCAATTTCTTCTCAACACTTCGCAACAGGGTGGTGGGGTGGGTGATCGCACCCTCTTCCTGTTGGTTGTTCTCTTTGTTCTTGCCATCTTTCAATGTTTCCATTACAGCAGTTGAAATTGGAGTGATATTGACTTCGATCGCCGGTGTTCAAAAACTTGGGCCGATTAAAAAATCACCTCCAGACTATGTAGACACACTCACGTATCTTGCTGATCTCGACCGACTACTCCAGGTATGTTTCCGACATTGTACGATCGCTTTTCTTTTTTTAAAAGTACAATCGGGACCGATCGCAGCCCAGTGAAATGGGGGTATAACCCATGCTTGTCGTAAGAGGCGATTAACGGGATCGAGTGGTCAGGCTCACTGACTTGGTTCACACATGTAATCGGTTACCAATTGCGTAGATCGATGCTCATGCTGTTGATCACTGGATTGTCTGGTCCAGACTCAATTATTTACATACCGCCGCCATATAGCTGAACTATTGCTGAGTACAGCGTAAAACTACACTCAATCAATCAATCAGATGTTGGTGTTCGCTATGAGATATTTGTGGTCAGCGTTTATATAATAGGTAGATTTCTGAATATATTTCTAGCTATGGCAGTCGGAAGTATCTATCGGGATAAAATGAATAAAAAACAATAACTGACGCGAGGAATTCCCCAACTTAATCAAGACAATATGTTAACAATTTCAGTCATGGTAGTATTGTTTTTGTATTTGTAGGTCCTGGTTAAAATACAGAAACCGGCTTCGTTTGCCCATGGTTGTGTCACTTAATCATGACAAAGACAGAAACATACACTAAATCTGTATCTAATGTTTGCTTTAAAAATATACCAGTGGTATTTTAAAGATAATGATGACATGGTTTGTAAAATATTTAAAAAGGCCTGTTTGTTAAAAAGGTCAAGAGTATCTCGACAATGCAAAAGTACACTGTGCCTAGAAGCACTATTGCAATTTTCATAATTTATAATTTTTTGACAAAGATACTTCCGGGAATCGTTGCTTAATACACCAGATCTTTCTAGATTTCTCTGAAGGAGCGGCCCCTCTGACTAATTTGTTATTAAACACTGTTCAAGAAGCCTTTGCCAGGCAGCTGTTTGAAGAAGGAAAGCCACACACAAATACCAGATTTTCAGAAAAAAAGCTCTAAGCTGGCATTTAAAGCACGTGGCAATAGGGCTTTGGAATTTATCACCACAGCAAGATGGTTACACTGTTTGGTACTTGTCAAAGAAACTCCCAAACACCTTAAAAAGTACCTCCACAACTGAAACGAAACTGGCCAAACACCAGAAAAAATACCTCCACATCTAAACTTATTGTCACTGGGAAATCTTGAGATGGATTTGGATGTATTTATCTTGCTGAAGTGTTCAAGATGAAGAAGACAGATGCGTTATTTGATGACATGGAGTTTATCTTTGCAAGTGTTTCATGTTGAGATCAAGCATATAAAGGGCAAAGATATGGCGTCTGTTGGTTGATCAGTGCACTAAACATATTTTTTTGCTAATTATGAAAGTAGCATATACTTTAAGTTCAAACGTTCCTTTCTTGTGGGAGAGGATAGCTATGTGACAGTAGAGACTGACTCATGTCCATTATTATCTATTTACAATGTAAAACGCTCAAAATAACATTAACAGTTTACAAAAACGGCTTTAACAGTACTGTTTACAATCCATGAAAGCCCAAATATATATACAAGTTATTAATAATCCACATATATTTAGCAATGCACAATATATATTGAACGTTTATGATAGATACATTTCTTTCACGTACTTAATAATGATATTGCAGTTCTGACAGGTAAATAGATCTTCAGGAGGTATCCTGCTTCAGGAGGTATCCTGAGAGAGAGAGAGAGAGAGAGAGAGAGAGAGAGAGGGAGATAGATCTTTAGGTATATTGCTTTATAATGTGAATCCCTTGCAATTTTAAAGTACACACAATCAAGCGGAGCATGCATGACGGTGGGCCCGTCATCACAAGGAACACACATAGGAGGTTCGTTCACAGTTGTTGTGAGCAGATACTCGTGAGTAAACCGACTGTTGCTTAAACGACATCGTCGCGATGTGAACTCATCAGGTCTTGACCGACAAGCCAAGTAGGTATAACTGATTAGTGGTTTAAAACAGTAACGGTTATTGATTTCTTCATGTGTGTCTCTACTAATTGCCAATGTGAAGAAATGACTGGAAAAGTAGTAACATGTGCCACTTGTCATTGTGTGTGCTTGTGACTATATATTTGTAAGTGCAGAACACAGTGCGCTCAGCATCTGTTTATTCAACCATTCATGCACTTACTGGGCTACGACCCAATGCGTTAGGGATATCACAGGCAATAAAAAATGCCATTACAGTCTATCCTAAGTGCCGTCATGCTCTATCTTAAGTGAAGTTACGGTCTATAAAAAGCGTCATACAGTTTGTCATAAGTGGCGTTAAGGTCTATGATAAGTGTCATTTTATGATATGTAAAACGTTTCGATATAGTATATCATACGTGCCGCTATGATCTATAACAAGCGCCTTCATATGGTCTCTAAGACGTATCTTTATGGTCTGTCATAAGTGCTGTTACAGTATGTCATAAGCATCATTACGGCCTTCAGTGCCGTTCTTGTCTATCCCAAGTGGCGTATATCATAATTTAATACATCGCTAGTGTAAAATTAATGAAACCCATCAAATCTGATCAAATATATATAAAGATCTAACTAAGTAAAACACAACAGCTGATTTTTAAAATACTCTATCAAACATTGTCCCTTTCAACACGAAAAGTTCTTCCAAATATATAAGTGACAAGCGATGGAGACGTTTCCATAGAGCGTTTCATGTAATATCCAGATCCTCTTAAGCATACTGTACAAGAACGATGTCCCCCTACACATATTATACAATCATTGTATAAGGGCATTAACTATTATATCAGAACGTAACGCATAACTACTTTAAGATTAATGAAACCCATCAAACCTAACAGATTACAGAGACTACATTAGGACCTAACGAAGTAACACACACACACTAGCTGATTTTCCGAAAGAGTCTAATAATGATGATATACGTGCAGTTATAATGCGCGCAGTCCCGATAGATATGCCTGCACACAATGGCTGATTTTCAAAAACTAAGTCTAGAAAACATGTCCCAATTCTACATGAACCAGTTCTTCATAATGTATCAGTGACGAACGATAGAGACGTCTGTAGAACCTGTCTTGTAGTTGCATAGTCACCTGACAGATATTGTACAAAAACCTTGTCACCTTACACATATTATACAACCATTGCATAATGCCTGCTTCAGGAGGTATCCTGAGAGAGACAGAGAGAGAGACAGAGAGAGAGAGAGAGAGAGATAGATCTTTAGGTATATTGCTTTATAATGTGAATCCCTTGCAATTTTAAAGTACACACAATCAAGCGGAGCATGCATGACGGTGGGCCCGTCATCACAAGGAACACACATAGGAGGTTCGTTCACAGTTGTTGTGAGCAGATACTCGTGAGTAAACCGACTGTTGCTTAAACGACATCGTCGCGATGTGAACTCATCAGGTCTTGACCGACAAGCCAAGTAGGTATAACTGATTAGTGGTTTAAAACAGTAACGGTTATTGATTTCTTCATGTGTGTCTCTACTAATTGCCAATGTGAAGAAATGACTGGAAAAGTAGTAACATGTGCCACTTGTCATTGTGTGTGCTTGTGACTATATATTTGTAAGTGCAGAACACAGTGCGCTCAGCATCTGTTTATTCAACCATTCATGCACTTACTGGGCTACGACCCAATGCGTTAGGGATATCACAGGCAATAAAAAATGCCATTACAGTCTATCCTAAGTGCCATCATGCTCTATCTTAAGTGAAGTTACGGTCTATAAAAAGCGTCATACAGTTTGTCATAAGTGGCGTTAAGGTCTATGATAAGTGTCATTTTATGATATGTAAAACGTTTCGATATAGTATATCATACGTGCCGTTATGATCTATAACAAGCGCCTTCATATGGTCTCTAAGACGTGTCTTTATGGTCTGTCATAAGTGCTGTTACAGTATGTCATAAGCATCATTACGGCCTGTCAGTGCCGTTCTTGTCTATCCCAAGTGGCGTATATCATAATTTAATACATCGCTAGTGTAAAATTGATGAAACCCATCAAATCTGATCAAATATATATAAAGATCTAACTAAGTAAAACACAACAGCTGATTTTCAAAATACTCTATCAAACATTGTCCCTTTCAACACGAAAAATTCTTCCAAATATATAAGTGACAAGCGATGGAGACGTTTCCATAGAGCGTTTCATGTAATATCCAGATCCTCTTAAGCATACTGTACAAGAACGATGTCCCCCTACACATATTATACAATCATTGTATAAGGGCATTAACTATTATATCAGAACGTAACCCATAACTACTTTAAGATTAATGAAACCCATCAAACCTAACAGATTACAGAGACTACATTAAGACCTAACGAAGTAACACACAGATATGCCTGCACACAATGTCTGATTTTCAAAACCCATCAAACCTAACAGATTACAGAGACTACATTAAGACCTAACGAAGTAACACACAGATATGCCTGCACACAATGTCTGATTTTCAAAAACTAAGTCTAGAAAACATGTCCCAATTCTACATGAACCAGTTCTTCATAATGTATCAGTGACGAACGATAGAGACGTCTGTAGAACCTGTCTTGTAGTTGCATAGTCACCTGACATATATTGTACAAAAACCTTGTCCCCTTACACATATTATACAACCATTGCATAATGCCATAACTCTTGCCCTGTTTGTCGAGTGTGTCAGGAAATGCGACACACACTGCTGTTCGTCCCACGTTTATGCAAGATGTAGGTCTTAAGTCCACTAGTTGTTCACCAACCTACTTATCTTTTCATGTGACATGTGAGGAGGCTTGCAATTTCTCCTAAATCCTGTTGGGGCAAATAACTAGCATGAAGCCAACATATTCACTGTTAGGTCAATTTAGTATAGTTTAACAACACACTATCAAATGCCCACAAATGCCACTTGTGTTTGGAGTGTCTGATGATAGCAGTCAACATGTTAGGTATATTTTCACGATCATTATCCAAATTATGAAATGCAGTTCTTCTGAAGTATTTTCGAAAGCGTATGATTCACAGTGAAATAGTCACATTCGGGAAATATGCTGTGAAATAAATAACAAACACATAATACTAGTTTATTGTCATAAAACTAAAATAAACCGTGGGCCCCTACTCCCATATCTATTTTTCTATACAAAACGTTTTGGCAATTTGGCAAGAGGTTCCATCTGAGTTTACTTTCACGGATCTAATATTGCTCGGTAATGGTCAAATAGGCAATTCCTTTCCACCTGTTTACTTACCTGAAATAGCAACAAAGGAATCTAGTGAAAGGTCCTCATTTTCTTGTTACTGCAAGACGGATGAATTAATCTCCCTTTTTATGTCGAGCAATATTGCAATAGACCCATCCTTTGGTGTCTATATTTCACTGCCTTTGAAGTACAAGCGATCATGCTGTTTCTTTGATATTTTTCCAAAGAGCACCACGCGACTCTAGCATGAGAGGTCTTTGATCGAGGTTACAACAATTCAAACCCCAAGAAAGTTATCAGGAGACGTATGTGTTAAACCTGAGAAGGACAAATCCCACTTTGGCTATCTGGAACCACAGTGATGTGGGAAATCATTCCTCATATTTGTAACATATGTTACAGTGATTATTTGGTTGAACACATAATTTGTTCAACATGGAGCACCAGAGAAAAATATAATTGATGATTTTAATGCAATATCGGTATTATGAAACTTATTATGCTGCCCTGTCTGGGATAATATCGGATAATTAAATCACTAATCAGATTGTGCTCAAATTTGGGGAATATGCATAAGGACAATTGAGTCTCTGAGGACATCCCAACAAATGCATTTACATATTGAGTGTGTGAGATTAGTTTTACGCCACTTTTGATAAGATTCCAGTAATATCACAACTGGTAGGGTCATATTGACGAAGAAAGATGCAACATACGTTGGAGGAGCCTGAAAACACGTCAATATATGGTAATAGATACGGATTCTTTATCTAACTGTCCTCTCGAAACAGTTGCAGATGGGTTTTCTAAGATACATATTGCGTGAGCTGATAGATCAGAACCAGCAGCTTGGCAGAAGTAAGATCAGACCGATAATATAATTGTCATGCTGGTACAACAAATACATTATAGGACTGTGACATTTATGACTGACTGGTGTGCACCTGATATCTCTGTTATTAAAACAAATGTTAAAGTTCGAATGATAAAGCCAACCATATTTGTTTTCCTTTAATCATTGCTTTGTATGTGTCTTGAAAGTGACAGTTTACTCGTCTGTCGCATGTAATAATTCTGTCATTGAACAGTGGTCATGCTTTCTTTCATTATGTTTCAGAGCATATGCATTTTTTGAACATGTGTTTCTATTTCGGATACATGAAATCGTAAGTGAAGGTATTGGTTTGGCTATTTCAAGCACACAAAATAATACGAGACAGGAAATTAAATGGCAGACTTAAAACATTGTGTCCAATAATGAACAAACACACGTCTTGCCCTGCTAGGAGCCAGACACAGTGAAGCACTGCTCAGACATATTTCCTTATTTAACACGGCAGATTTTGGTTGAGGATACTTGGAAACCTTTGCTGAATTACCCAATAAATATTTATCCCTTTATCAAGGCACATTTCCGGGAAAAACGTGGCTGAACTATTGAACTACAGACAATGCACTAAAGCTCACACATATTTACCTGTTTACAGAGAAGCACTGTGCATCTTTTCTGAATCACCGAGCTACCGTCAGTACACTACTGCTCTCAAATATTTACCTCTTCAACTAGGCTCAAATCATCGGAAACATTTGACGAAAAACCGTATTAATTACATTTGAGAAATGCTCGTGGTACGTTCTATAGTGACAAAAGGACGTAACAAATAGGACAGAATTCGTGTACGTTGATGCAAATTTGGTTTCCGTGACTAGCATGACGGGAATTTATAAGGATAGCCATCATAAACTGTTGAATAATCTTTTTAATTGTCTTTGTCCCTGCTGGTTACTGGTTTAGTCCTCATTTTATGGTTTTGGCGAACCTCGGATAACTCGAACTTTTTACTAAGGTTCCTTCAACTAGGACACAATGACAGTGCTTGACTGTATTGTCATATCATTATCCCATTCTGCCCTAAGCTATTACATAAGACCAGTAATGTAACATTATTCAACCTCAGAGCAAAATTAATATTTCCTTTTTCGATACTTCTATCCAAGGCTGATCTTGGTACACCAAGACAGCTTCCTTAGTCCCATCATCTAGTGTTTTCATACATATCATCCTGTAATAACAATACCCTGACTTTATATAACTTAAGATGTCATCACATGATGTAGGGTATAACATAACCCCGAAATGTCATTATGGAAGACGTGGTTGTTATCTATATGATAAATTCTTTTATCATCCACCTTGAAATTGCTTCTCACGGCGGTAGCGTAGTCAAGCAGGCAAAGCTTTCGCTCATTTCACAGAAGGAATGGGTTTCACTTCCACTTGGGTACACTATTTGAGGTTCATTTCTGATGAGAGAAAGTGCTGGTCTACTCCATAAGTGACGTAAAGACGTATTCACGGATACAGTCAAAACTTGAAGTGGAAAATTTGGCCCCAGCATTTTGATTCTTAGGTCATAATGTGGCGTTTGAGTGGATCTCCGGATAACTCGAAGTATTTATGTAAGTCCTTTCAAATTTGACACAATGTTGTATGACCGAACTTAAAATAGAATAACTTGTTCAATGGTCACGAGGGGGGTAAATTGATTGGCTCAGCCAATCAGAAAACGACATTTATGTGTGACGTAAGATAAAGCATGTTTCACTATTTAAAATGTTACCCTCAATGGAGTCGGTTTCAGGGAATATTTGATTCCAAGCCAACATATTGCTTTCCAAGCATCTTAATCCACACGATGATGGGATCCGGGCACGGGCAAGGGAAACACTCTTTACAACGAATAGTGGCACCATGGGCGGCCGGCTACCAATGGGTGCTGAATAGTGAATGCTTAGATCAGCTACTGATCTACTGAAACTTGATATACCTAAGAAAGATAAAAAAACGATGTCGCATTATTCACATTATCAACGTTATTCAAGTTTTCTCAGCTCTCAAAGTGTGACATGTATACAAAGGGAAAAGCTAGTCTAATCCGTTGAATAGCTGTACATATCATCAATGCCCAACTGTTGTGTGACTGCCAAGTCTAATTATCAAATGGATCACCTCTTAACTCTCACATGCCTACCAACGGTATAGGTGTCTTTAACGTCTTGGAAGCACCCAGGCAGGTTGTGTCGCCATCCATTGAAGACTCTCATTACGAGATTGATGTATAAGACGCCATCTACGGAAACGCTACGGGCGATGGTAAAGGGGTTCACGCCTGAGTCAGGTCATATTCCTACTGATACCAATGTAGCGGTTTATATATCAGGTCAAACACCGGTTTGACAAGGTTTAAGGGACCTAAGTAAATATTTCGATTCTTTGACATGGCCATAAAATGATGACTTACGAAAGAATATGCAGGGTCCTAGCTTTTATTTCGAGACTTCCATAAGTTTGAAAATGGAATTTAAACACATGAACGAAGAATGAATGATAATTGATTTGTATAGCGCCTGGCTTCCAGATTGGACATGACTGCTCAACGGCGCTTGTTGAAGTGAGCGGAAAAAAGATATGTCTTCAGATGAGTTAGAATATAGTCTTTTGTTTGACAATATCTGATTTCCAGTGGTAGGGCATTCCACAGTTTTGGAGCTGCAAAGCATAGACCCACTTCGCCCATCTTTGTTTTAGTTTTAGGAACATGAAGTAGTTTATCATCGGCTGATCTTAAAGCTCTTGTGGGTTGGTAGTGATGTAACATGTCCTTAATATAACATGAATGATTTTATGCATGGAACGTTTTATTCATCGAAACACCGTTTTCGCAAAACTATGGCTACCACGAAGTGAAAGGTTTGTCCCTGCGTATTTCTTCTTTAGTCATCATTTGGCGTTTGTGTCGAACCTCGAATAGCTAGAAGGATATATTTATGAAGGTCCTTGTAAAATCGACACAAGGTATTTGCCTATTGTGTTGAATGCCTATGGCCTTTCACACAATAGTTGTCATAAACTACTTTCATGACCTACTTTGTTCAAGCACTTCTGTTCTTCTTCCTCAGGTGTTCCGATTCTTCATGGTGGGAAAGATAGAAGACAAGTGCGTGGCCTTCACCGACTACCTCACCGTGTACACGTCGCTGCACGTCTACCTGTACCAGTTCACGCTCATCTTCATCCTACCGGTTGTATCAGTTCTTACATGCAACATCCTTGTGCTTTTCAAGATATACAGGGTGATGAAGCCTCGAAGTCCAAACGGAACAACCCTCTCCAGGTCCAGGAGAAACGTTGCTAAAACCCACAAAACCACCCTGATGTTGCTAACAATATCATTCGTGTACGTCATCACATTGTTTCCATCCGTGGTGGTGTCAATCGTCGTCCATGTTGCGATAGCAACGAGGTACACAGGCACGAGGGAACTGTTTATGAGGATACGTCCCCTGACAGATCTGTTTGAGTTGTGCTCAGACTTGAATTACTGTTCAAACTTCTTTATTTACATTTTATCGGGGAAAATGTTCAGGTATGAGCTTCGGAGAATATTCGCCTTTGAAAGGAGTACTGCGCTAACAGCCACTTCCAAAGCCAGGGATGAAATGGCTCTTGTGTGATGAAACCTTGTTACCTCAAACTCTGTGATCTCAGAACAACGTTGGAATGTGTGTTCTCGGAAGATTCCTTTACGGCCCCGGTTTATGTCGATTATCAAAGTTGGGTGACAGACTCACAATCTGATAAACGGGTGTAACTTACAAGTGTTTTGTGTCCTGTGTTTTTGGTGTGTGTTTTTTAAAGTAACCTCTTTGAATATTTTAAAAGAAAATATATAAGAAAATTATATTAACACAGAGACGACTTAGAAGATTTGTTTTCAACCAGAATGGTTTATACCTTTAAAAAAGATTCAAGTCGAATTTTTATTCTTCAATTCTTCCTCAGTTTATAAACACGTTTTTGTATCTTAAAGGACTGACACACTATTCTCTCTCTCTGGAAACACTCAAAGGTCCTGCCCTCAATGTGGTTTGTTTCACCCTTGTTTCTTTGTGTCCTGGACTAAGAGGTAGCAGGTTGTCATTGGAGTTATGTTACAATGTGTCGTTGTTACAGGGGCGGTGGGGTAGCCTAGTGGTTAAAGTGGTGGCTCGTCACGCCGAAGACCCGGGTTCGATTTCCCACATGGGCACAATGTGTGAAGCCCATTTCTGGTGTCCCCCCGCCGTGATATTGCTGGAATGTTGCTAAAAGCGGCGTAAAACTAAAACTCAGTCAGTCAGTCGTTGTTACAGAGCATGGACTCACAACTGAGAAACGTGCACATATTGGAGCCTGGAACTGGAATCAGAAACATGAAATGAAGATGATTCATGATACGATCAAGTGTTATGTACATGTATGTTGTGGAAAAGTACGTTGAGTAGATCGTTTCGTTGTGATAATGCGATCCGCGCCATTACATCTGACACATGCTGCATTGTGAGATATTGTCGATGCCACCAATATCAGCAATGATGTACAAAGTCACCAGTCATCTATTTTTACACCTTATAAACACCTGACCGGATGATGTTAACTACCCGTGTGAAATAGATGCCTTTCTTGTTCTCCGCTTAAAGGAAGTCAAATGCCCTGGGTGCGTGTATCCATAACAGCATGATATTACTGAAGCGAGAATTACGCTTTGTGCATACGGACCACAGTAACAGATCCTTGCTTTCATTTTTTCTCAGCCTTTATATTCTTGCTGACCTTAATTCATACATATGTTTGCACATTTCTTTTATGCCATTTTAATGGAGCTGTACAAAGTTTCAAATAATCAAAACGGACATTGTGCTGTGTCCTAAGTTTTGATTCGTATAACTCCGTCTCTATATATAGACATAGTGATTTTACAGAATTTGGAACAATTTTCGCAATGGTCAAAATAATGATTTTTTAACAGGAAATTTGATTTTATACATATTGCATTTATTGCAGTAAAAATGTGTGTACAGTTGTTTTCTTTCGTTTTGTAGATATTGCCAAATAAACTGATATTTGAATTCATCACCTTCGTCAGATAGTTTCCAAGGTGGACATTTTCTTTCCGTTAAAGTTATTTTTCTCCATCTTCCAGTTTTAATGGTTCACCTTTATCTGAAATGATGAGTATACATACATAGTGAATATAGAGATTCACTTTTGATGGGTAACAAGATATGTAAGATATGTGCATTTAAAATCAGATAGTTACTTGATTCCTTTGAACAATGACATAGTGATTTTACAGAATTTGGACAATTTTCGCAATGGTCAAAATAGTGGATTATTGAACACGATAAATAATTTTATACATATTGCATTTATTGCAGTACAAATTTGTGTACAGTTGTTTTCTTTCGTTTTGTAGATATTGCCAAATAAACTGATATTTGAATTCATCACCTTCGTCAGATAGTTTCCAAGGTGGACATTTTCTTTCCGTTAAAGTTATTTTTCTCCATCTCCCAGTTGTAATGGGTCGATTATGGTTACAAGTTCTAAAATTTAGTATGACCAACAAAACGTTTTCTTGCAGCACGTTTATGTATAAAACACAGAAAAATATTTTTGTATTATACGAAACAATAACCCTAATTCTTATGCTAATTGTGATATTCAATATTCAGCAATAACATCTGCAATATACACTACTATCATCAATTAAACCCAACCTGACAGAACCAATCAAAAGTGGCACAATCAGTTTGATAGTTATTGCAGTGACGATACCAGTCCTTGCATCCAAGGTAAATTCATAGTCGGCGTTTTCTCCTCACATGGAACCCCCTGGCATTACACTGCCGTGTTCAGATGTCTAGACAGGTTATCCACTTACCTAAACTGTAAAGCGGTTCACAAACTAGTTTGCCATCATTAATCGTTGGTTCGCGATCTTAGCACCAGGAAGTGTTTGTTCAAGCGTTCACGGCAACAGTTAACGGCTTGACTGTATTCAGACCACGCGAAATACACACTTAAGTATCGAACAAACAGGAAATCACCCATCGCTATAGCAGCTTTGTATTATAGCAGCATTAATAGTATTTGAATCACGGATTTAGGATTTAACTTTTTGAAAAAAAAACCTACATTATCCCCATAAGTAATAGCATTTCTGTAGTGCGCAAATTTTCAGCAAATGGATGGGCATTTAACTAATTATAAATATTTTCCTGAATTTCTAACTTGCTGAGGTCTTCCACGGTTGGTAAACTGTTATAAGCTCGTGTGACTACTTTAAACTTCAGTGACAGTATTACTGACCAAGAGCGTTCGTTTTGGGTGTTTTCGGTTGGTACTTCAGGATTCATATTGCCCAAACTGGATCATATGTCTTTGTATGCTCCATTGCTTCTTTTGGGTGATAGATTGACACCCTATGTAAAATGAATAAATGCTAATGCACGACCATACTGTGTCTGGTTGAAGGAACAGAGTGATTAGAACTGTGTTGTGAACAGTTTTTTAAGTTATATGTAAAACTGGTGACACTGGTGTAGAGGAAGACTACAATTTACCAACCACCGTCCGTATGTGTTTCAACTTATAAATCATGCATATGCACCCCAGTATTATTCGTGTTATTCTGTTAGTTGTTTGAACATCATTTGTACAGAGTCGAATTGTATAAGTGGTGATTTTATTGAGGACTCGTATCATTATCTGTTTGAATGTCCATTGTACAAACAACAGCGAGTTAACTTCATGTTATCTGTTAAGCGCATTTGTTCATCAGCAGGTATTTCAGTCGACCTTAAACTTTTGTTAGAAGGAAGTGCAGACCTATCATCATGTGATAATACAAATGTATTCAAGTTAGAGCAATCGTTCTTTAGTGAGACAAAACGATTTGTATAGCGCATTGATAATATGCTGTGTAAGCTCTATGTCCTTTTTACTTATACTACTTTCTTGTCCACTATCTGTCATCTTTACTTGCGGGAATATACATAACAAGGAGAGGTTAACTTGTTCCTAATCCTTTTGTCTGTGAATACAATATGTTTAAAACAAACAAAGGCTACGTATCAGCCGTTAAGCATAAGAATCATTATTGGTTTATAATTATTAATAATTAGCATCTGGTGATCATTAATTCTGTTTCACTTTGAACGAAAGTATGTAGAATGAATTCTACGCACAAAAAAACCCCAGAAAAATAATTCATCCTTCTCACACCCATACGTATCTATACTCATCCGGTGTTAATATAGGTTGCTCACTGGTCACGAGGGGGAACATAAACTAACATAGAGGGTACATGAACCAGTGGGATCCGAGGGAACAGTGAACAATGTATTCATGTATTTAGGTGAGCCTAGTGGCTGCAAGAGTTGTATGCTCCCCTGGGAGTTAAGACTGACAATACGTTGTGCCGTTTAAGATTACAAATATTAGCATAATAATAATCATCCTAACCCTATCGGCTGCATTTTCATGTTAATACTAAGGCATAATAATAATGATAATAATAATATCCTTTAGTCCTTTGCTGTTTTGTTTGTCTCTAAATCCTTTGAGTTTTCTGCTCAATAAAGAGGAAGGTTACCATCCCGGACCTTCTCAGCACAGATCCCCAACACCGCTTACTCATCTCCATTACATGGATGGCATTGAGCTCCTTGCCGAAGGAGATAACAATCTGAAAGAGGAGGTTCTTCTTGTCGAGTCCTTTTCTAATGATATTGGCATGACATTAGGACTCGACAAATGTAATATTCTTAATTTGAAACGTGGCAAAGTAATTAATGATGGATCGGCCAGGTTAAAAGGGGGAGGAGTTATTGAGCATCTTGTGGAAGATCAGTTACACACCTATCTTGGAATGCAAGTTTGAGACAAGCTCAAGAATGGCCAGATTCAAGACAAACTTCGGGCCGAGTTCAAAGCTCGCTTAAAGAAAATCTGGATCTCAGAACTTAATGCTCGAAACGAGGTCAAAACCACAAATACTTTTGCTGTGCCAGTCCTTTCCTATTCCTTTTGAGTAGTTGATTGGACAAAACAAGACATCCAGAGTCTTGACCGCCTGACCAGAAGGATCATGTCTGATAACACAGCCCACCACCCTCGTCCCTCTCTCAATCGTTTATATATGCCAATCAATTCTGGAGGTCGGGGTTTGATTAATGTGGAGGCTCTTCATGATATAATTCTTTTGTGTTCTTTTGCACATATTTATTTATCGGATGATCCTCTAATGATGCATGTCAAGACTCCTGATAAAAGCAAGGAATTCCACAGCTTTTTTAAACGTGCCAAGGTTGTTGGACAGAATCTGAAATTTGAGGTTGATTTTGTTGAAGTTATTCACCAAGTCTGCTCAGAGTCGGTCATTTGTGGAGAACCTTTATGAGAAGTCATTGCATCGTGTGTACATGCAGTGTGTGGAACAGAATAGCAATTCAACCGACTCCTTCGCCTGGATGAAGTCGGCTGGTCTACAATGTGAAACTGAGGGCTTCATTTCTGCCGCCCAGGACCAGTCACTTCCCACTCGCAATCGCCTAAATGTGATTCTTAAAGAAAATATTTGCATGAAATGTCGATTGTGCAATGAATTTACAGAGTCTGTCCAACACATTGT